ACAAACACTGTTCCTCATCTCGGGAAAACATAATGGGCACCAACTAGGTCTTGGCCGAGGTCCTACATCTCCTTGCCGAGGTGTGGTCCCGATGGCCACATTCAGGGAAACGAAGTCGGGAAAATCTTGGGTTTCCCTTTTTTCGATGAACATGAAGAACATGAATGCAAAGAGCATAACTTGTTATTACAAAATCTGAGATTTCATGCTATGAATTCAAAAATATGGACCTGGGCACCCATACTCGAAGACTTTATGAAAATAAACACAAAAACATGAATCTTAATGCAATCTTTTGGATCAAACAATGCTTTTTCTTTAAGAACACATGAATACCACTTTCTTTTTATAAAGTCAACCTTAAATCAATGCATGGCTTGCAAATCAGGTTCAATCATGCAATGCAGCTAGATGATCAATAAGAACAACAAGAGTAAATTAAGATTCTAACCTCAAAACACGAATCAAACGGTTTGAACTCTAAGGATCAAGTTTGGAAATCTATTCCTCCTCTAAGAACTTCTCCCTCCTCAAGAACAAGATATGATACAAAATGATGCATTTCTCTCTCTGCCGGCTGATTTAACACTCAGGTCGGACACGTGGCAACGGTTGGTTGGTTCTTCTCAAAAAGATGACTAAGTGAAAAGACAAGGCTATGACAAAGTGTGTTCAACAAATAAGATGGCATAGGCACTCCGGCAGGTAATGATCTCAGCTAAGAACAAGGCATCGGTAAGGGAACAATGATCTCGGCTAGGAAGGACAACACATGGCCTAGCTGTGCCACACCTCGGCCTAGATGTGCCACACTTCGGTCTAGGTCGCACCAACCCAGGAACAAGATCACTTAGGCGCAAAGGTAACATCTCGGCCTAGATAATACACATCTCGGCCTTGGTGATGAACACCTCGGCCTAGATGATGACATCTCAACCAACATGCCTTGGTGAAGGTGGAGGTCAACCAAAGTGGTTCCAAGATGGTTCTAAGCTTAAGGTGACCTCGGCTTAGACTAACCTAGGCTAAACATACACGCCAAACAAGGAACAAAGCATGCAAGTAACACTTATGCAAGACAAATCAAGGTTTTGCAAATGCAACATATCAAGACAAGATTATGTAATATATGCAAGTATGACTAGAGTAAAGCGAGGGTTGTTACACACTTCTCCCTGTTAAACTAGATGTCCTACATGGTTCTTTTATCAAATAATTTGTCGCATATGTCACTGCAACTGTTGCTGCCATAGCTAAGAGCATGTTATTATGTTGTTGGGTTTGCAATGTACTGCCTTCATCTTCAGTATCTTCATCATGGTGATCATCATTCCATTCGTCATCACTGTTACTCATCTCCAAAATACCTACTCATTTAAATGCTTAGTTACTATTACAATAATGACCTTGCTTTCTTGTAATTAGATTTTAGTCCAAATTAAGCATTATAAATAATCATGACTTCACAAAAATTAGTTTTTATGATTTTTTTTGTTCAATTTTTTATATTTAAATGCATCCTTAGAATTATATTAAATTAATGGTGGTGGAAAGTGGGGGTGGTGTAATGGTGGAGATGATGGTAAGTGGGTTGGCTTTTTGGCTTTTTGATTTTTTGACTTTTTTGGCTATTTTAGCCTGGGCTAAAAAGTTTGGTTTGGGAAGGGTTTTTTGGCTTTTTTGACTTTTTTTATGAGAGAAAATTGTAATGGTTATGGGTTGGATGCGATGTTTTGTTTGTTGTGGCTAAAATAACCTATTTTGTCTTTTGTGGCTAAAATAGCCACAAATCATCTTCCCAAACGGTGCCTAATGTGAAATTTTTTTTCATATTTAAAAAATATAAAACATTTTCTATTACCCATAAAAAATATTTTTTATTAATTTTTATTTTTCATTACACTAATGTCCAACATAGTCATGGAGGGCTTGGGGGTCATTGGAGCTATCTAATGTGATCTTTTTCACTACTATTGGATGGTCCGATATAATGAAGATGATTTCAATCTATCCATTTCAACTTGGAACTCCCTTGAAAAAAATAATAATAATAAAACAAAACAAAACAAAAAACAGCATGTAAACCAAACAATCTCAAATGCTCAGTCACTTCTTTCAAGTTCCAACAAACAGTGCCTCCCCCACCCAAAAATATATGCACACCGTAGGAGTTTATTTTTAAAAAAAGGAAAAAAAAAAAAAAAAAAAAAAAAAACAAAAAAATAAAGTCACCTGCACAACCAGTTAATATCGGTGACCCAAGTTAGTATTTCACTTTTGAGTATGTGCATAAAAACCACTTTTATGTACTGTAGTCTGACCCATAGGTAGGGGGTCAATTTTTCTGTTTTTTTGCAGGGGTAAATTTTTTTGTTTTATCTATCTGTATATCTATCTATCTATCTATCTATCTATATCTATATATTTATATTATATTATATTATATTATATTATATTATATTATTCTTATTATTTATACTATATATTAAGCAAAAGGAGGTTTTTAACCCCAAGTCTTGTGAGAGCTCCAATCTTTCAATCTAAATTTCTTGGTTTTTTGATTTAAAAAAAACCCTTAGCATTTATTAATTTCTCCCAACCCCCAAGTCTTATTCTCATAATAATACTTTAATGCATTAAGTACAAGCATGAAAAAAATTCTTTGAAATCCAACACATGAATTCCTTGAAAAGTCTCAACACATATGATTATTACCCCTCATAATAACACTTTAATGCATTAAGAACAAGCATAAAAAAAAAAATTCTTAAAAAGTCCAACATATATGATTATTATCAAAATATTAAACTTTAATATAATATAATAATAATAAAAAGACATTTAATTCCTTAAATAGTCCAACACATATGATTATTATCAAAATATTAAACTTTAATATAATATAAAAAAGGAAAAAAAGAAGACATTTAAAAAAAAAAACAAAAAAACATTTGAAAATCATAATCTATCTATCTATTTATCTATCTATCTATGCTTCTATACTATATATTAAGCAAAAAAGGGTTTTTAACCCCCAAAGCCTGTGGAAGCTTCAATATGCCAATCCTAATTTTCTAGTTTTTTGTTAAAAAAAAAAAAAATAACGTCAGCATTTATTAACTTCTCTCAACCCACAAGACTTTTTGACTTTTATCATAATTACTGTAGCATTCTTTTGCCTGTTAATCCTATATTATGGTTAGTGATGAGATTACTAAATTACTGTTATAAAAAATCTAAAAAACATAATTTGTATATTAAAAATATATATAAAACAAATATAAATAATCTCAGCATTTATTGATTTCTCCTAACTCACAAATCTTTTTGACTTCTATCATAATTACTGTAGCACTCTTTTTAACTTCTCTCATATATTATGGTTAGTGATGAGATTGTTAAATTATTGTTATAAAAAATCTAAAAAACATAATTTGTATACTAAAAAATATATAAAACAAATATAAATATCTATAATTATCTCGTGCATAGCACTGGTGATAGGCTAGTATCTATATCTATACTATATATTAAGCAAAATGGGATTTTTAACCCCAAGCCTTGTGGGAGCTCCAATCTCCCAATCTAAATTTCTTGATTTTTGCAAGTGTAATTTTTCAAATGTAAAGGGGATCTGTATTAAACAGAAATCTCAAGGGGTGTCGGTATAATTTACCCTGAAAATTGACTCAAATTTTTCAATTTTTAGAATCATCTAGCTGAGAGAAACCACCTACACAGTAAATAATTTCGACTTAGTTTTAAAAAGTTCAGAAAAGACAAAAATAAGCTGGCTTTTTAGTTTTTGCCAAATGAACTATTGAAAAGGCGAAAACAAAATCAAAACAAAGATCTAGTTACTGAAACCTGCAAAATCGAAAAATGAGATTACCTCTACTCCATGAAGAAGAGCATTATTGGAGATGAATCCTGGTAACTGAAAATTTCAACGTTCAAGAGGACAAATGTCAAAAATTGTAAAAATGAAGACTCAAAAGAAAAGGAGAAGGAAATAAAAATAGAAAGAAACCTCTTTGTCAAACATTGAGAGTGAATTTTGTAAAGCCTCCGTTATATTATTGGGGAACAATTCATGGAGGCTGGCTACCTTCACTCCCAATCGATAACTTGACGGCGGAACAGATGCTCCTGAGCAATATGGCAATTCAATTTAGATAAGGAGTTAGAAGCAAAGAAATTAGAAATTAAAAAAGAAATGGTTTACCAGACAACTTATTTTCCAGAAAATCAGTAACTGTTTGCACAGGCACCACAAAATTGCCCCCTCCCATTGTAGCAGCTCTTCGCTCAAATTCCCTCTGAATAATTGCAATGAATATTATAGCTAAGCTTTGAAAAAAGTATGACAAAAGAATTTGATCTGAGGTCTATGAAATAGTACTATCACACCATGTAAAAAAAGAAAATCACAGAAACAAGTGGATTGATTGAACAAAGTCTGCTAGCAGAAAGAAAATGTTCAAGAGGATTTGATTTGCTGCCGGAGATGAATCCCTCCAACAGAAAAATTGTGGCTACATGACTGGCAAGGAAGAAAATAAAATTTGTGGCTATATGGTCCATCCAACAGTTGTTGATTATACTACTGGCACGGAAAGAAAGAAAAACAAAAGAACAAGAATTACTGGTGGGAATCCATAACACCTAACTAGAATCAGTAAAACACAAAACCCAGAAACAAACAAACGCACAAGAAATATAAATCATATGCACACATGAAGAACACAAGGTTTACAAAACCCCAAACTAGGGTACGTCCATGCTTGTTGCACTTTTCACTATAATATAAAAGGTCACTAGAGATTACAAGAGATAGCCGCCACCCGTCAACTATAAATACATCGAAATTAGGGCAATCGGTCACAAGTGTAGAAATATCATAAATGCCCTTACTAGCAGTCAAGTGGTTAGTGTCCAATATTTATCAAGATCCACACTGCGCCAACAACAACAAAAACATGAATGTCGAACAATAAAAGTACCTGAAACTCAACTCCAGCAAGAGGTCCATGGAAATTTAGAGCATCAAAATCCTTAGATGAGACAGTAACAACGAGAGCTGCATTTGCCCACTTCGATGCACGTCGAGAAAATGACATGCCATTGATACATAGTTCTGATGGATTTGTACTGGTAAGAACAACCTGCAAGTGTATTGTTAAGCAATCCCATCCACATGATCTCAGGAATGATGGTTTCCAGCCTCTCCGCACACTAAACAATTCATGGCGTGATCAATCTAGATGAAGTAAGATTGCATGGCATTTCAACTATGAAAGTAATTCTGAAATGTATTGCCTAAATATGCTTGTGTGTTTCATATTCTATTTCTCCATCCAGATAATTTATTGACAATGCTAAATAAGTTCCTAGATCAGATTGCATAAATTTCCCATTATATGATCCATTTATCGTATACTAATGAAACCATAAATTTCTGGTGCATAAGGTAAGCAACCATTACAAAATAGAGTATGGAAAGAAAAAGGTACCAGTCAAAACAAGTAAATCACAAACTACAAATCACACTTTTCTTAGCAGGAATATCATAAGAACCTTACCTGCCCACCAGGACACATGCAGAAGGAATAACAACCACGCCTCACAGTCCCTGGATTAAAGGTTGTATCCACATCATCTCCTTTAATATACTTAACGACTTTGTAATCAGCAACTGGTACTTTCCCACGTCCACTGCGGACTTCAGTGGCCAATCCAGAATACTGCACATTTGTGTGTATAGATTTGTTTACCATCAAACGATACATTAAACAAATCTCACTTGAAGCTTGGCCAATCATCACAGGACTATAAACCCTGTTCAAAAAATAATTATAAATCCCTAACCCATCCATCGGGTTTATTAATAAAAAACGAAACATTTACTCGATCTGCCTCGCTATAGGGTTGGCCCATTTGTAGTATGTACCTTCCTATAGGGCCTGGGCCCAAGTATACAAAGCCTTATTTGGAGTGACCGCTGTACCTTGAGCCCATTCGTTAGTGGGTTTTGGATTAGTGTTGAGTAAAAATAATTGCAAACTAGTCCAATTCAACAAAATCGTAGTTTAATTTAGTTGTCCTAATGCATAATTCGGTCCTAATTCTTGAAGGTTGTCTTCGTTATAGTACTTGCCTTGGTCTATCCTCTTCGAAGTGTCGCCCTCCTGGCCGACGTCTTTCTCTCCGTGTCCCTGGTCATGAGTTTCTGCATTGTGGTTGTCTCCTTCAACGTCAAGGTCAATTGGTCTGCCACTCCCAGCAGTAGTGTCGCCCCCAATGTTTTCCTTCTGTCCGTCACTGGCCATCTATTTTTCTAAGTTCCCACAGACGGCGCCAAATTGTGTGTTCTTGAATGATACGACACTGCCCGCCTAGTAATCAGCTGGAGAGCACCGGCAGAATAGATGGCACCTGGCTGACCTGCAATAGAAAGAGAAGACTCCGGCGGTGGCTCTTCCACCTGGGGGCACTCCAACGATCAAGTCAGTATATCTCTCAAAGATAATCAAGTGCTAAACTCACAAGATTGAGCATCAAAAGCATACCTTTGACCCATGGGGGTACATCTCTTTTATAGCCAACATAAACCTAGTCCCACTAGAAGCCTGACTTCTATGGATTCCCATTTAGTGCTTATTTTGGATTTCACAAGAGATAAAGATAAACTCCCTAAGAGTTTTATCCTTATCTTAGCAAAGTTCCCTTTTCATTCTAGGACTCTTGTCCCTTATCCACTTATCTTGGATTTCGATATCTTCGGAGATAACCTCGGCCTTGCCGAGATCACCTCGGCGTCACGACCAGCACACGTGGCATCTCGGCTGACACGTCGGCGTCACCTTGCCACGTGTTGGTACTCAGAAAATATATCCCCACAACTGCCCCCTAGGTTCTATTACCTCGACATTCTGAAGTAATGGAACCTACACTGTTCGTTCATCTGTGCCCCTTTGTCCGAGATCAAACTCGCCGACCTCAAAATTCCCTGGACTTTACTGTCCATTGGTGTCAAGACTCAAGTTTCATGCTTTCCAAGCTGCTTGAAATCGCACGTCCTAGCCGAGGTTCTGGTTCCATTAATTCGTAAACTCCAAGAGCTTTTGCAACTGCTCCACTCACACTCTCTGGTGAGTTCCCGATTTCCAGTCATCTATTTAACTCCGGTGATTTTCATATCGGCGTTCATTTCACTTGGTAGGTTCGTAAACTCTTTACTTGCTATTAAGCTCGATCTTTCATAACTCTTCTGAATCTGTTTACTTGCCATCTGTTGCCTTCTATTTTCGTCTGTCTTCAAGTTTTGAATTGTTTGAATGCCTGGCACTGTTCTTGTCATATCCGCCTTCTGTTGCCAGCATCGTGTCTAGGTCATTACTTTCTTGTTCTTCACATACTTACTTAGTGCCTATGCACTTGGCTTTATTCTTGAACTTTGTCATCTTCTTGACTCTGATTTTTCTCTTCTTGTTTTTCTTGTTGTATTTCCAGATTCTTGCCTTCGTTTCTATTTTCTGCATAGTCTTAGAAACACGTCCCTTCTTAAAATTGTTGCCGAGATAATGGTAGAGAAGCTCTCCCAGCTGACTGTCAATGCTGAACCACTGTCAACTGTTGTAGTAGATTAGTTTGACGTTCTTACCCTAGTCCCTAGTTCTTAGGGTCTTCATCTTTGTACTTTTGTTTTCTTTGCATATGCAACCTTTTTTTCTTCTGAAAAATGTCTGTTTGTTGGCCAATGTTAACATTCCTTGCTCCTTGATTATCATTCCTTCTTCCACTGTATTTGGTAGCCATGTCGAGTAATTGACTTCTCGGATGGCCCTGGGCTCCAGAAGTCTGTCTACTTCTTCCTCTACTGCTTCGACGTGCATCAACGTCAGTCTTCTGGCTCGCTGAATCACAGGTTTTGCCGACCTGTCGACATTCAGTCTGTGGCAAGTGACCTCGGGGTCAATGCCAGGCATTTCGTAAGGTGTCCAAGCAAATACCTCAATGTTTGCTCTCAAAAAAGCTTCCAATTCCCTTTCTTCTTCTTCGGCTAAGCCTAAGCCGAGAAGAAAGAAGCGTTCTTCATCCCCCTCCTGGACGAGGATTTTCAGTGCCTCTTCTCTCCTCTCGGCTGGCTCCTTGTCGACATCATCTAGGACCTCTATGTCCTCGTTTTCAATCTCTGCCTTCTCTGATTCTCAAATGCTGTAGGTGGATTTCATTGCTGTCATGGAGCAATTCTCCGCCTGCAGTTGATCCCCTCTGACTTCTTCAATCCCATGTTCTGTTGGGAACCGCAGTAGTTGATGCAACGTTGAGGGAACTACCCCTATTGCATGCAACCATGGCCTTCCCAAGATGATATTATATGGCGAGGGCATGTTAATCACCGTAAATTCTGTCTTGATCTTCTTCTAACTGCTCTTGCATGATTCTATACTTAGAATATTTTGCATGTCTTATGTACTTTTCCTTCTTTGTGCAATCTTCTCGGGGTGACACACCTCGGTTATGCCACCTGACGTTTTTCTTCGGCAAGTACTTGTCCTGTAAATTGCTTACAAATTTCAACAAGGATAAACATATACTAGTTTAATCTCAACTTTGTAAACTTTTCTTAAGTTATAACAAGTGCTAAACAATGATTGCTATAAATTTCCACAAGTGTTAAACAATATATATCCGCTTAACTTCAACTTGAAAATTGCTACAAATTTCAACAAGTGAAGGTAAACAATGACCTCAGCTTAACTTTAACTTGTAAATTGCTACAAATTTCAACAAGTGAAGATAAACAATAATCTCGGCTTAACTTCAACTTGTAAATTGCTACAAATTTCAACAAGCGTTAAGCATTACTTTGGTTTAACCATCTTGTAAATTGCTACAAATTTCAACAAGTGGTAAACATCATCTCGGTTTAACCAACTTGTAAATTGCTACAAATTTCAACAAGTGGTAAACATGTTCTTCTTCTCTTTGCCCCCTGCATGGCTTCCACATACTCCTTTGCGAACCTTATAAAAGGTCTTCAACCTGGCCAACTGCAGTCTAACCTTGTGTGTTTTCTTTTTATCTTCTGGGATCTGAGAGCTGCTCATTGTGCTCTTCTCTTCTCGGACTCAGGTGCCGAGATCTTATCTTCTGGAATCTTGGATCTAGTCACTCAGGTTGAGCTCTTCTTTTCTCGGACCTACTCATCTAGGCCGAGATCATGTCTTCTGGGATCTGGGATCCGGGATTTACTCACTAAAGTTGAGCTCTTCTATACTTGAATGTTATCTCCTTAGGAGCGCTCATGCCCCCCTATCTTTGCATCCCTTCTGGAAGGGTCTTCGTTCCTCCGCAGATATCTATCCTTCCATACCTGGAGGTCATCTTCGTTGTAGTATCCGCTTCGATCTGTTGTCTTTGGTGCGTTACCTTCCTGGCCGGCGTCTTTCACTCCGTGACTCTGGTCACGAGTTTCTGTGTTGCTATTATCCCCTTCAACGTCGAGGTTGATAGATCTCCCATTCCCAGCAGGAGCGTTGTCTCCAGTCTGATCCTTCTGTCCGTCATTGGCCATCTATTCTTCTTTCTTTCCCACAGACGGCGCCAAATTGTGTGGGTGATTTTCTGACCACACTGCCCGTTTAGTAACCAACTGGAGAGCACCGGCAGAATAGATGGCACCTGGCTGACCTGCAACAGAAAGAGAAGATTCCGGTGGTGGTTCGTCCACCCGGGGGCACTCCGACGATCAAGTCAGTATACCTCTCAAAGATAATCAATAGCTAAACTCACAAGCTTGAGTATCAAAAGCATAAAACTGCGTACCTTAGACCCACGGGGGTGCCTCTCTTTTATAGCCAACTTAATCCTGATCCCACTAGAAGCCTGACTTCTATGGACTCCCATTCAGTGCTTACTTTGGATTTCTCAAGAGATAAAGATAAACTCCCTAATAGCTTTATCTTTATCTTGGTTAAGTCTCCTCTTTACTCTAGCACTCTTGTCCCTTATCCCTTATCCGATTATCTCGGATTCCGATATTCTCGGAGATAACCTCGGCCTTGTCGAAATAACCTCGGCGTCACAACCTGGACACGTGACACCTCGGCGTCACTTTGTCACGTGTTGGTATTCAGAAAATACATCCCCACATATCTATAAATAACAAAACATAGGATTTAGGGTTTCAAATCTTACTTTTTGGTGGAGATCAACGGAAAATAGGGACGATCGCCGGCAATCTTCGATGTGTGGAGCAGTTTCGTCGTTCGACAACGAGAGGAGAGGAGAAGAGGAGAGCGTAGTTTGAGAAGAGAAGTGTTAGGTATTAGACGAAGAACTATGTTTATATAGTGGCGTTTTTGTTATTTCTTAAGTTTTGGAGGGGCATTTAAGTAATTTTGCCCCTCCAAAATCAGCTGCGCGCTTAAGCTCAATTTCTAAGCACCCTTGGAGCAACTTTCACATTTAAGCCAAAAATGGCTTAAATTAAACTATAATCTATGTCTTACAAATTGTACCAAACACACCAATATAATTTAATTTAAGCCAAAAACTAATTTAAGTTGAAAAAAAAATTTACCAAACAGGCACTTCCTCAAACATTTCGTCAAACACACACGGCAAGCGTGTTCTCAGTCGCCCCATTTTAAGCCACCCTTTGATCATGGCATTAAACGATTACCGAATTCGGTCGAACATGAACACACACTCTCATTCGCATTTTTGCGACAGACCGTTCTCAACAAGACCAATCCCAATGAGAAGGGCATTATTAAAAGACTGTAATTGGGACTTTCCGTAATGTTGAATCAACGCAAAA